AAAGATAAGAAGAGTAAAGTTGTCGTACGACATCTCCTACTTTATACCCTCACCCTAAGCTCTTTTCGTACGAAAAGTTCCCGTGACTAAGTATCCTAAGAGAAGGCACGTGATGTAATCACGTGTTCTATTCATGGCGTAGCCCCTTACAGTCTTTAACTTTAATAAAGCTAGCTTCTTAATAGATAAGATTACTACTTAGCTTATCGTTATAGTATTAGAAAGAAGGGCTTAGCTAAAGGCTATCTAGCTAGGTAGTCGTAAGTAGGTAACGTTTATCACTAGAATTAACGTAGCTAGCTAGTCTATCCTGCTATTTCTAATCTTTACTAGTAAGTATTACCTATCTACCTAGTATAAGGAGGTAGATATCCTACGCGACTAGGCGATTATAGTTAGTAATAATAGCTAGATAACTAATAGGCTAGGAGTTAAGTAGCTAAAGCACTTTATTAAGTATATAGATAGTAAGGTTATTAGGGTATACTAACTACTTATTCTTAATAGCTATAAGAGCTACTAGTTACTTAAGTTCTAAGAACTCTATAAGGAGAATAATATCTACACACTCTATATACTACCTTACTTATCTTATCTACTCTAGCCTCTTAATATTAGCTATTTCTTGCTATTAAAGCGCGCGTATAGCTATAAGGTAGAGAGTCTAATACGTAACTATATTAACTATATTACTAAGCTTAAGTTTCTACTAGTATTTAAGGCAGCTTTTAATTAATCATTTACGTTAGCTAATATCTACTTAGCTTTTTAAAGTATAGGCCTTATTTCTCTTTAGCTAGACGCTATTTTATTAAAGCTTAACGTGTAGCTACGTACGCCTACTTCTTTAGCTACTCTTATAGAAGCTCTCTAGTAGACTTATACGCTAGGTAACGTATATAAGCTTAAAGCTTAATTAATACTAATAAGTAATTATATTTAATAGTATAAAAGCTTATTACTAGCGTTAATTATTACGGCGATTAGCTAGCTTAAGAAGAGGGTAGAGATAATAATACTCTTAGCTAAGCTAATGCGCGAGCGGATTACTAACCTTAAGAGAGCTAATAAAATAGCGTTAAAGTATAGAGAGCGTAAAAGAAAGCGGATATAGAAGTAAGAAGTACTTATAAAGAGAGCTAGCGAGGATATTATTACTTAATATAAGGCTAATAAGTAAATTACTTATAAAGAGCGTTAGAGAGAAGAGTAATTAGGTATTAGCCGCTAGGCTCTTATGCGCTATAGTAGGTGTAGAGAGACTAGCTATAATTCGCGTACGTGTAAAAATAATACTATAGATACTATTTAATCTACTATATTAATATATATCTATATTATTATAATATAGTAGAGCTACACGCTTGTATAGATGCGCGAGGTTAGTGAGGTGGCTCACTCGCTTACCTAGCTCACTCGCTTATCTAACACGTTAACCTTAGTACTATAGTTAGTAATATTCTTTAG